TGCATTCTGTGTGGCATGAGGACGCTGCATCTGAGAGAGGTGAGACCTTCTCTCCACAGGAAAGCCAAGAGATGTCAGAGTGAAAGCCAGATGGATTTGGTCTTCATGGCCCACCATCAGCCTGGACGAAAGGCAGGCTCAGTTGGCTTGCCCATGTGGCCCTGTGTCAAGGAACAATGGACTTCTTTCTCCCTTATTGCAATACTTCCTTGCTCTTGTTTCCCTATAGGCTGGCCCTCCAGACAGTCTGCAACCTTCCAACCCTAAGATGAACTGAGAGGAGGAGCCAAGGGCAGCCAGGGAGGACTTCCTGCTTGTCTGTGATTCTCTGATGATCTTGAACACACATACCTCATACCGAAAATGGACCATCATCACTTATTGTGTCCTCTACTCTTTTTGCTCTTATTGGTCCTATTTCCCGATTTATTTTTACTTTTCCAATTGACCAGTTCTTTGATTCCCTTTTGTTACAGGCCTGATGTCTGACCCAGTGACTAACAGCATTAGGTTTGTATTGACATGCTATGTACATTTCTGTCACTTGCTCTTTCGATAAGTTTTTTTGGTTAGCCCCTTATACAGGGATAAAGCAGCAACCTACACTCTTGCCACTTGCGAGATGGCTCAGTGGTTAGAGTACTAGCTGCTCTTGTAGAGGTCCCAGGTTCAATTCCCAGTACATGGTGACTCACAACCATCTGTAACTTCAGTCCCAGGGAATCCAACACCCTCTCCTGGCCTCTGTGGGTAAACACACATACAAAATAAATAAATAGAAAAAAAAACAACAAACAACAACAACAAAAAACTAACCCAGTACAATTTCAAGTCAAGTTAGGACTGAAACCTTCACGTCTTCCATTCCACACACCACCGTCTGAGTGGGCAGTCATTCCTGAGTTGGATGCTCCCTCAATAGCCAAGGGCCTTGGGAATGTTCTGAATTTTTTTGTTTGTTTGTTTTTTTGTTTTTCGAGACAGGGTTTCTCTGTGTAGCTTTGGAGCCTATCCTGGCACTCGCTCTGGAGACCAGGCTGGCCTCGAACTCACAGAGATTCGCCTGCCTCTGCCTCCCGAGTGCTGGGATTAAAGGCGTGTGCCATCAATGCCTGGCTGGGAATGTTCTGAATTAAAGACTAAAAATGTAATACCTTCCACCACTGAAAACACAAGCACTGGCCAGGCAGTGGTGGCGCAAACCTTCAATCCCAGCACTCAGGAGACAGAGGAAAAGGTAGGTGGATCTCTGTGAGTTCAAGGCCAGCCTGGTCTACAGAGAGAGTTCCAGGACATCCAGGGCTACACAGAGAAATCCTGTCTCAACAACTCCGTCCCCCAAAAGATAGAAAACACAAGTACCTCTTCTAACAGACCTGAGACCTTAACACAACTGAGTCAAAGACAGAGGTATGGTTCAGGTCATAAAGCTCAGCACACAGACAGTGCCACCTGCCAACGTGAAAACAGAGACCTGATCCACCAAAGACCACATTCTGGGAAAGTTTTGGCTTCTGTAGTTCTGCTTCTGGCTAGCTGTCCCTTTTTTGTGCTTGGAAGTTCACCCTGAGAAAGGCTCAGTGATACAGTGTAATCCTGAGCACCCAGTGTGCCTGCTGGACGCCTAATAAAGACTTTCAATGGGCTTAAAGCCGAGTTTAAGTTGTCTTCTCTTGTGGGTACCCAACAGTCCCTCTTCTGCTGGCTTCATGTCATCTGCAAACTCTCAAGAAGGTCACCAGCGTCCTCCAACTGGCTACACTTTCCTTTAAGGGCCTCCATTTTGTAACAGATAAAGCTTTGTTGATGATCATAGATAGGTTAACTCACTCTAGATCCCTGTTTGAATCCTGCAGGGGTTCAGTTTCTAGTCTAATTTCTACGGTTTCAACAGGGAGATCAGAAGATACAGGTGTTGGCCTCTCAACCATGGGATTGGCTTTGAGAAGAGGAGGAGACAGAAGGCCAGGATGTGGGAGCATCTAACTGAACCAGTGTGCACCCCCAAATCCACAGTAACACCAGCCCCGGGAACAATGCAGAGAAATTGCTATTTGCTCCTCTGTTGCTTGCGACATTCAGGACATAGAAGAGGGCTCCAAGGGCCCTCACCGGGTGAGAGAATTCATCCCCCTGTCTCGTGAGACATAAAGATTAACTCACACTCCACGCAGAGAGAAAAAGGAGGCTCTGATGTGCTGGTTGCTCAGCCAGGAGCAGGAGCAACAGGTGTCCTCCTCCTGGAACAGGGCCAGCTTGTGGTGTGCTCCAGCGGGGCCTGTGTCACATCCCAGGGGAAAGGGCACTAATTTAAGCAATTGCTTTTGCTTTGTCATGCCTACACTGTCATTTGACACATTAGCAGTCAGCCTTGTGGCTACAGTTTCAAAACCCTTAACCCACTACTTCTCCCTCTCTGGATCCTGTCAGAGCTGTGTTCCTCCTTGGCTCCCTAGGGCATGTTCAGTAGCTCTTTGCAAAAGGCCTGAGAAACTGTGGGAACTGAGGAAGCAGATCCCGTGTGGGTGGGTGTGGCCTCACCCATGATGCTGCTGACCTCTCCATGTGTCCTGGTGATGACCATGAACAGAGGTTCACACCGTGGGGAATGCATTTTAGGCCTATAGACCCTGAGGGTACTGATCTTTAGGGTGATAGGTTTATTCTGAGAACATACTGTGACCCATCAGACCAATCAGGGGGCCCTGACAGTTGTGGTCTCTTGATTCGGAGCAGAAATATATATTGAAACTGCTAAGAGCCTTCAGTTATTTCTCTATCCACAGTCAATAACCAGATAAGGACTACCCTCATTTATTTTATTTGTTTTTGTTTGTTTGTTTGTTTTGTTTTGTTTTTGAGATAGGGTTTCTCTGTGGCTTTTGGAGGCTATCCTGGAACTAGCTCGTGTAGACCAGGCTGGCCTTGAACTCACAGAGATCCACCTGCCTCTGCCTCCCAAGTGCTGGGATTAAAGGCGTGCGCCACCAACGCCTGGCTAATGGCAACTCTTATAAAGGAAAAATATTTAATTGGGATAGCTCACATTTTCAGAGGTTTAGTCCATTATCATCATGGTGGGACATGGCAGCGTGCAGGCAGACATAGTGCTGGATGAGGAGCTGAGAGTCCCATATCTTAACTTGCAGTCAACAGGAAGTGGTCTGAGACAACGGGTGGTATCGTGAGCATATATTGTGGTTCTCCTTCTTCCTTGGTGATCGTAAGACGGTCTGGCTAGTGGGAGGGAGCTAAAGCAGGGAACAGGGCTGGACAGCTGTGGATACAATGGAGACTGCCCTCCAGGAGAAGCCTTTGATGAATCAGCTCAGCTCTATTTCAGAGTACAGGAAATACATAGGATTGGGAGAGCCTGGGGATAAATCCTAATTTGCATTGTATGTGGCAGCAGGATCCTATAGCAATGCTCCTAGTACAAGTCTTAGGTACCATATGTGCAGTGGTGGTGGAAGACTTCCAGCAGGAAATATGCCAAGGGTCACTACTGAGATAAATCAGTCATCCAGGCTCAGAGGCAGCTTTCAGTCTTACTGGGCCTAGGGACGTTGCAGGTAAGGGCAGGCAGAGTGCAGGGAGTGTCGCTGGGGAAGGAGTCCCTCATGTTGGAGAGAGATGCCATCAAGGCCTCCCAAGGATACAAGAGACCTCAAAGCATGCCCCCATGGTGACACACTTCCCCCAACAAGGCCACACCTACTCCAACAAAGTCACACCTCTCAACAATTCCTTTGGAGGCTGCCTCCTTTCAAACCACCACAGGAGGTAAGATCAGAGGAGGGACTCCTACAGACAGGCACTTGCATGTATCCTTACACTTTGGACTGACTCCCCTCAGTGGCACCAATTATTTTCCTAATGTCCCAGGTACTCAGGCTCTGCCCATTCATTACCACCGAGAATGAGAGAGTTGTCTGAAAGTAGTGGTTCAGGACTTTAATCCCGGTACTCAGGAGACAGAGGCAGTCAGATGGTCAGATCTCTGTGAGTTAGAGATCAGTGTGGTCTACAGACAAGTTCTGGGATAGCCAGAGCTACACAGTGAAACCCTGTCTCAAAACAAAACAAAACCAACCACCGAAAGAATGAGAGGGTTGTTGTCACCTGAAAGTTAATGACAAGGGCTCCTCCCCATACCAAAAACCAAAACAAACCCCACAAAAACCCCCAGGGTCTGGTCAGGAGCTCAGAGAGAGAGATTTGCCCACCAGAGTGCTGGGACCAAATGCACCCACCATTGCTCCCAGATCTAGATATGTTTTTCCAAAAACGTATTGTGTCTCTATCCCCTTACTCTGCGTTTGTGGCTTCTATAACCAGGGTGTCCCAGGCGCAGCCCAGTTTTGCAGCCCATGCAGTGGGTTCAGTGGTCAGACAGACTTGGTGGGGGCCTCGCTAGTTTGCTGGAAACTTGCCTTTCCAAGTCAGGGTCAGCACAGGTTCCCAGGCAGGAATTAGAGATGACCTGCGGACTCTGAGGACAAGCTCGGGCGGGACAGAATGGGAGGTATGGCGAGCATCTGGTTTTCCAGTGCTGGCCATGCTGGTACACGCCTTTAATTCTAGACTGAGACAACCTGGTTTATATATCAAATTTCAGGCCGGCCAGGGCTCACAGTGAACCACCCCACCCCCCAAAGAGGAAAAAGATACATAGACATTTCTTTTTGTTGTTGTTTTGTTTTTTGAGTCAGGGTTCCTCTGTATAACAGCCCTGGCGGTCCTGTCGCTCTGCACACCCGGCTGGTCTCGAACTCTCAGAGATCCGCCTGCCTCTGGCTCCCCAGGGCGGCGTTAAAGGCGTGGCCTACGCGCCCAGTTCCCTCTCGAGAACTCTTAAGCTGTGACGGCCAAGTATCGCGACATTTTCTCGATGGTGGTCTCGCGCAGCGGATCGCCGGGGCTGCCCGCTACGCAGCCTAAGGTGGAAGTCGCGTTTCCAGGCGGAAGACAGAACAGAGCTCGCTGAGCGGGAAGGGGAGGGCTTTCCGTTGTTCCGCGCAGACGCTTTGCGTGCGCAGGAGTGGGAGGAGCTCTTTTCGGCTTCGGCGCAGGCGCAGCGGTTCCCGGGCGACGGCGGCAGCATGGACGACGAGGAGGAGACCTACCGGCTGTGGAAGATCCGCAAGACCATCATGCAGGCGAGTGACCGGCCGGCCTCCAGCCCGCACCCTGCCTCGGGAGGGCTGCTGCGCGCTCACACCGCGCTTATGGGGGCCGGAGGGAGAGACTCGGGGTTCTCTGCGCGCTCACACCGCGCTTATGGGGACCGGAGGAGGGAAACTCTGGGTTCTCTGCGCGCTCACACCGCGTTTATGGGGGCCGGAGGGAGAGACTCGGGGTTCTCTGCGTGCTCACACCGTGTTTATGGGGGGCCGGAGGGAGAGACTCTGGGTTCTCTGCGTGCTCACACCGCGCTTATGGGGGCCGGAGGAGGGAAACTCGGGGTTCTCTGCGCGCTCACACCGCGCTTATGGGGGCCGGAGGGAGAGACTCGGGGTTCTCTGCGCGCTCACACCGCGCTTACCGCGGGGCTGGTGGGGGCCGGAGGGAGAGACTCGGGGTTCTCTGCGCGCTCACACCGCGCTTATGGGGACCGGAGGAGGGAAACTCTGGGTTCTCTGCGCGCTCACACCGCGTTTATGGGGGCCGGAGGGAGAGACTCGGGGTTCTCTGCGTGCTCACACCGTGTTTATGGGGGGCCGGAGGGAGAGACTCTGGGTTCTCTGCCTGCGGGGCAGCCCTCCACCCACTTAGCCCAGGCCCCAGCATCCACACGGCAGCTCACAACCATCTGTAACCCAGACTCTGGGTTCTCTGCGTGCTCACACCGCGCTTATGGGGGCCGGAGGAGGGAAACTCGGGGTTCTCTGCGCGCTCACACCGCGCTTATGGGGGGCTGGAGGGAGAGACTCGGGGTTCTCTGCGCGCTCACATCGCGCTTATGGGGGCCGGAGGGAGAGACTCGGGGTTCTCTGCGTGCTCACACCGTGTTTATGGGGGGCCGGAGGGAGAGACTCTGGGTTCTCTGCGTGCTCACACCGCGCTTATGGGGGCCGGAGGAGGGAAACTCGGGGTTCTCTGCGCGCTCACACCGCGCTTATGGGGGGCTGGAGGGAGAGACTCGGGGTTCTCTGCGCGCTCACATCGCGCTTATGGGGGCCGGAGGGAGAGACTCGGGGTTCTCTGCGTGCTCACACCGTGTTTATGGGGGGCCGGAGGGAGAGACTCTGGGTTCTCTGCGTGCTCACACCGCGCTTATGGGGGCCGGAGGAGGGAAACTCGGGGTTCTCTGCGCGCTCACACCGCGCTTATGGGGGGCTGGAGGGAGAGACTCGGGGTTCTCTGCGCGCTCACATCGCGCTTATGGGGGCCGGAGGGAGAGACTCGGGGTTCTCTGCGTGCTCACACCGTGTTTATGGGGGGCCGGAGGGAGAGACTCTGGGTTCTCTGCGTGCTCACACCGCGCTTATGGGGGCCGGAGGAGGGAAACTCGGGGTTCTCTGCGCGCTCACACCGCGCTTATGGGGGGCTGGAGGGAGAGACTCGGGGTTCTCTGCGCGCTCACATCGCGCTTATGGGGGCCGGAGGGAGAGACTCGGGGTTCTCTGCGTGCTCACACCGTGTTTATGGGGGGCCGGAGGGAGAGACTCTGGGTTCTCTGCGTGCTCACACCGCGCTTATGGGGGCCGGAGGAGGGAAACTCGGGGTTCTCTGCGCGCTCACACCGCGCTTATGGGGGGCTGGAGGGAGAGACTCGGGGTTCTCTGCGCGCTCACATCGCGCTTATGGGGGCCGGAGGGAGAGACTCGGGGTTCTCTGCGTGCTCACACCGTGTTTATGGGGGGCCGGAGGGAGAGACTCTGGGTTCTCTGCGTGCTCACACCGCGCTTATGGGGGCCGGAGGAGGGAAACTCGGGGTTCTCTGCGCGCTCACACCGCGCTTATGGGGGGCTGGAGGGAGAGACTCGGGGTTCTCTGCGCGCTCACATCGCGCTTATGGGGGCCGGAGGGAGAGACTCGGGGTTCTCTGCGTGCTCACACCGTGTTTATGGGGGGCCGGAGGGAGAGACTCTGGGTTCTCTGCGTGCTCACACCGCGCTTATGGGGGCCGGAGGAGGGAAACTCGGGGTTCTCTGCGCGCTCACACCGCGCTTATGGGGGGCTGGAGGGAGAGACTCGGGGTTCTCTGCGCGCTCACATCGCGCTTATGGGGGCCGGAGGGAGAGACTCGGGGTTCTCTGCGTGCTCACACCGTGTTTATGGGGGGCCGGAGGGAGAGACTCTGGGTTCTCTGCGTGCTCACACCGCGCTTATGGGGGCCGGAGGAGGGAAACTCGGGGTTCTCTGCGCGCTCACACCGCGCTTATGGGGGGCTGGAGGGAGAGACTCGGGGTTCTCTGCGCGCTCACATCGCGCTTATGGGGGCCGGAGGGAGAGACTCGGGGTTCTCTGCGTGCTCACACCGTGTTTATGGGGGGCCGGAGGGAGAGACTCTGGGTTCTCTGCGTGCTCACACCGCGCTTATGGGGGCCGGAGGAGGGAAACTCGGGGTTCTCTGCGCGCTCACACCGCGCTTATGGGGGGCTGGAGGGAGAGACTCGGGGTTCTCTGCGCGCTCACATCGCGCTTATGGGGGCCGGAGGGAGAGACTCGGGGTTCTCTGCGTGCTCACACCGTGTTTATGGGGGGCCGGAGGGAGAGACTCTGGGTTCTCTGCGTGCTCACACCGCGCTTATGGGGGCCGGAGGAGGGAAACTCGGGGTTCTCTGCGCGCTCACACCGCGCTTATGGGGGGCTGGAGGGAGAGACTCGGGGTTCTCTGCGCGCTCACATCGCGCTTATGGGGGCCGGAGGGAGAGACTCGGGGTTCTCTGCGTGCTCACACCGTGTTTATGGGGGGCCGGAGGGAGAGACTCTGGGTTCTCTGCGTGCTCACACCGCGCTTATGGGGGCCGGAGGAGGGAAACTCGGGGTTCTCTGCGCGCTCACACCGCGCTTATGGGGGGCTGGAGGGAGAGACTCGGGGTTCTCTGCGCGCTCACATCGCGCTTATGGGGGCCGGAGGGAGAGACTCGGGGTTCTCTGCGTGCTCACACCGTGTTTATGGGGGGCCGGAGGGAGAGACTCTGGGTTCTCTGCGTGCTCACACCGCGCTTATGGGGGCCGGAGGAGGGAAACTCGGGGTTCTCTGCGCGCTCACACCGCGCTTATGGGGGGCTGGAGGGAGAGACTCGGGGTTCTCTGCGCGCTCACATCGCGCTTATGGGGGCCGGAGGGAGAGACTCGGGGTTCTCTGCGTGCTCACACCGTGTTTATGGGGGGCCGGAGGGAGAGACTCTGGGTTCTCTGCGTGCTCACACCGCGCTTATGGGGGCCGGAGGAGGGAAACTCGGGGTTCTCTGCGCGCTCACACCGCGCTTATGGGGGGCTGGAGGGAGAGACTCGGGGTTCTCTGCGCGCTCACATCGCGCTTATGGGGGCCGGAGGGAGAGACTCGGGGTTCTCTGCGTGCTCACACCGTGTTTATGGGGGGCCGGAGGGAGAGACTCTGGGTTCTCTGCGTGCTCACACCGCGCTTATGGGGGCCGGAGGAGGGAAACTCGGGGTTCTCTGCGCGCTCACACCGCGCTTATGGGGGGCTGGAGGGAGAGACTCGGGGTTCTCTGCGCGCTCACATCGCGCTTATGGGGGCCGGAGGGAGAGACTCGGGGTTCTCTGCGTGCTCACACCGTGTTTATGGGGGGCCGGAGGGAGAGACTCTGGGTTCTCTGCGTGCTCACACCGCGCTTATGGGGGCCGGAGGAGGGAAACTCGGGGTTCTCTGCGCGCTCACACCGCGCTTATGGGGGGCTGGAGGGAGAGACTCGGGGTTCTCTGCGCGCTCACATCGCGCTTATGGGGGCCGGAGGGAGAGACTCGGGGTTCTCTGCGTGCTCACACCGTGTTTATGGGGGGCCGGAGGGAGAGACTCTGGGTTCTCTGCGTGCTCACACCGCGCTTATGGGGGCCGGAGGAGGGAAACTCGGGGTTCTCTGCGCGCTCACACCGCGCTTATGGGGGGCTGGAGGGAGAGACTCGGGGTTCTCTGCGCGCTCACATCGCGCTTATGGGGGCCGGAGGGAGAGACTCGGGGTTCTCTGCGTGCTCACACCGTGTTTATGGGGGGCCGGAGGGAGAGACTCTGGGTTCTCTGCGTGCTCACACCGCGCTTATGGGGGCCGGAGGAGGGAAACTCGGGGTTCTCTGCGCGCTCACACCGCGCTTATGGGGGGCTGGAGGGAGAGACTCGGGGTTCTCTGCGCGCTCACATCGCGCTTATGGGGGCCGGAGGGAGAGACTCGGGGTTCTCTGCGTGCTCACACCGTGTTTATGGGGGGCCGGAGGGAGAGACTCTGGGTTCTCTGCGTGCTCACACCGCGCTTATGGGGGCCGGAGGAGGGAAACTCGGGGTTCTCTGCGCGCTCACACCGCGCTTATGGGGGGCTGGAGGGAGAGACTCGGGGTTCTCTGCGCGCTCACATCGCGCTTATGGGGGCCGGAGGGAGAGACTCGGGGTTCTCTGCGTGCTCACACCGTGTTTATGGGGGGCCGGAGGGAGAGACTCTGGGTTCTCTGCGTGCTCACACCGCGCTTATGGGGGCCGGAGGAGGGAAACTCGGGGTTCTCTGCGCGCTCACACCGCGCTTATGGGGGGCTGGAGGGAGAGACTCGGGGTTCTCTGCGCGCTCACATCGCGCTTATGGGGGCCGGAGGGAGAGACTCGGGGTTCTCTGCGTGCTCACACCGTGTTTATGGGGGGCCGGAGGGAGAGACTCTGGGTTCTCTGCGTGCTCACACCGCGCTTATGGGGGCCGGAGGAGGGAAACTCGGGGTTCTCTGCGCGCTCACACCGCGCTTATGGGGGGCTGGAGGGAGAGACTCGGGGTTCTCTGCGCGCTCACATCGCGCTTATGGGGGCCGGAGGGAGAGACTCGGGGTTCTCTGCGTGCTCACACCGTGTTTATGGGGGGCCGGAGGGAGAGACTCTGGGTTCTCTGCGTGCTCACACCGCGCTTATGGGGGCCGGAGGAGGGAAACTCGGGGTTCTCTGCGCGCTCACACCGCGCTTATGGGGGGCTGGAGGGAGAGACTCGGGGTT